GGTAGTGCAAATCAGGCACTGATCAGTGTAATTATGAATAAAGGTTATAATATAGTTGTGACTGGAATTATGATATGTCCCATACCAGGTATTAAGAGAGGTGCTGAGATGTCCTAGGTGTCATAAGGTGTCTTGGGGTGGCATGGACATTACTTAGGGTCTGGGATATCCTATCTCTCCATCTGCCCAAATTATAGGAGAATGAGATATAGCTATGAAACTGTGATTAATGCTATAATGAATGAAAATATTAGTAAGGCTGCTTTGCAATCTGCCGTGGGGCCCCAGTCTAAGATTTTATAATTGCCTAACTCAAGGCTACAGGTGTGTTTACTGTGACAGACCTCCAGTTAAAGTGAAATCCATTACTTTCCCGGGAATGTTTGGAAAAGTGGTACGGGTTATATTGCCTAGTTTGAGGCTACCTGCCACTAAAAATATTAAGCTATCTCCTTTGCTATGATGTAGCCATAATTGTTTTTGGGCCAGTACACAGGAAGGTCTAGGACTTTTATAACTTACACACAGTGGGAGGATAGTGGAGTGATATGTAGTGTTATCTGACACCTTAGTCCAATGTGTGCCATTATTGAGAGAACCTCACTGCGGGTAAATCTATCCCTTCTAGCCAAGCAGTCATGTTACTATAGTCTGGGAAGGGGGTGTCCTGCGCAGGTGACAGGGCAAAAGAAAGGTGGGTCTAATATATGAGCCCAGTAGAGTATAGCAGATGCAGGCTGCAGGCAGAGTGAAAGAATAAACAATGAAGCAGGATTTGCTTAACCTTCTGAATTTTTTCTTCTGAGGAAGCTGAATTGTAACTTTCCAAATATTTCTTTCTCTACTTTCTACTTTATCTCCTTTGTCCTGCTTTCTGTGCCTCTCTTTCCCTCTTTGCCTCCTTGTTTTTCTCTCTCTTTCCCTGCCTCTCTCTTTTCTTTACACTTTATTTTCTTAATCTCACTATTTGTATTTTTCTCTGATCTCTGTTTCTTTTATTATTATTTTTTTACTTCTTTCTTTTTATTTCTCTTTTTAATCTTTCTGTTTCTGTCTGTTTTGGTTAAGCAGTGATGTTATTACTTTTAAGCTTGCTTGTTTACTGCCATAAGCTAATGGGCTAGGCAGTGAGCTGCGGGCTTCAGATTAGACTTGATTAAAGCTGTTTCAAGATTTTGTAGTGGATAAACTGAGTAAGCCAAGTCACTTACTATATTTATGGGCTGAGTGGGAAACGTATTTAAGGCTGGTGTCACGGCTTTAATTTTAGCTCTCTGACTGCTAGTAAACTTTGATTGGGTGATTGAATTATGTGGTCTCTACTAGATTGCAGCCTTTTTTTGTTTACCTGATCTATTAGTAAACAGTGTTAAAACATTAGGTATGGAGGAGTGCAATATCGCTTTAAATTGCTCTAAAGGAATTTTGATGATATCAGGATTATAACTTAGCAATTGACTGTATAATTTAAGATGGCAAGCTGAAGTTGGTAACAATGAAGTTTAAAAGGAAATCTGAAAATATCGCTAGAAGCAGAGACTTACATAATATACTTTAACCATGTGCATAAGGCCACAGGCAGAATAGCTTAAATCTTGCCATTGAGTTTTTAGGCTAAGTTTATGGACTTTAAACTGGCAAACAGTTCTGAAAACAGTGGCTAGCGGAGCAAAGACTGTCTCAAATCAGCGTTGCATGCATACGTTTTTACTACACTTACATACAAATGTCTTTCACTTTCTGAGAAATGGGCACAACATTTTTACTTCTTAATTCAACAAATATGATTTAATTTGGTTTAAAGTTATCTTTTAAAAGGTATAGTGTGGTTTTACATGCTTAGCTTTTAATTGCTTTTCAACTTATTCATAGGCCTTCTGTAATTTTTCTCCTTTCAGAGGTTACCATTTTACTTAAGTTGGATTTTAAAAGAGCCACAATAAGGGTAGCATTGGAATAAAAACAGTGGCTAATATTAGAAAAAGGTCTTACAAATCCTTAAATTTTACTTAAATTTTAGCAGAGAATTACAATTTGGGATGTTGCTTGTATACAAAGAATACATGAAATTTTACTGTGGGACATCTGTGGAGCCAGAGCGAAACAGCGCGGGTCCTGGGATGGCAGCTGTGCTGTGCCCTGCCAGGTGCTGCTCTTTGCTTGCACTGCGTTCTATGTGCAGCAAAGGTCGGTGGCTGGATGGACCTTTCTGCCCATGCCTCCCGCCCCTCCCTTGCAGGCTAACTGGGATGCCCTGGGCTTGGATCGTCTCCTCCTCGCAGGCTGAGTTTTTGGGAGCATTTGCTGGCTGTGGTTTTGCGAGCTTTTTTGCGGTGCTTGCTTCCCTGCTGCCGAGCCATTCCTTTTGCTTACTGCTCACTCCCCCCCACCCCACCCCCCACCCCACCCCCCACCTCACCCCCTACCTCCACCGTGGTAGCTGCCGCTTGGGCGGAGCTTTTCTGCTGGAGCCTCTTCCTCTGCCCACTATCTGCTAAGTTGGGCAGTTTCTGCCTCTAAGCCTTTTTTCTTATCTTTTTATAAACATACACCTGGTCGCCTTGCTGATTATTAATTACCGGACATAAAAGTTCCTTTTGTAATGCTGTTTGCTTAAGACAAGGATCTATAGCTGTAGCGTTTCTTTTTCCTTTTTCTTCCTCATTGGATGCCTTTGTGCATGATTTCTCCCCACTTATTCCCCGAGCTTTACTTCCAGCATGCTATTTGCTGGGAACCACGGGCTTTGGGAAGCAGCAGTTTGAATTAATTCCTTCAATTGGGCCTGATACTGTTTTTGTTGCACTGATTACTGCTACCCCATGATGAATCCCTAGCCTGAAACAATGCCTCTCCAAACTTGGTAATTCCCAGTAGGTACCAATGACTTACTGACTTCTTGACCTGATTGCACAGTCCCTCTGCACTTTCATTTTTCGGTGGGTCCGCTGTTCTTTCTTCACAGTGATGATTACCTTGTTTTGTTTCACGTTTGGTTGCCTGCTGTGACATTATTTTGGTTGGGTTTCCTCACACTGGGGTACCAGCTGTGGCATCGGTCATGTCAATGTCCCTGTTCAGGTGCCAGCTGTGGTGAGTATCATGTCAGGGTCACCATCTGAGACATTGATCACTACCTGCAGAGGTCTGTCCTGCAGACCCTGACTCAACGACGGATGAATGAATGTACTCTCATACCCAGCACAGTGATTTCGAGTTGGCTAGGGATGGATGTCAACTGCTTTCAGAGGGCGATTGCAGCTAACTGACCACGACTCCTTGTATCTCCTCACATTTATTTAGTATAAATTTAATAACAGATGTTTTAAGTTAACATGCTCATGGATAATTAACTTGGTTAAAAGAGTGGTTTTATGAATGATAAAAGGTTTTGATTGGGGGGGCCCAGAGTAAATGCCATTAATGGGTAATTTCCCTTTGACCTTTCCCTGAGAGGACCATCCAGGACAAAGTTTACATGAGCAAACAAATTAGAGTAGGGACAAAGGAATGTGGGGTAAACAGACTTAACTGGGGAAGCTTTTATTATCCTAATCTTTTACCCTATGACTTAAAAATCTAACGTAATGAACTGGCTGCCTTCAGCCTGTTCCATTAAAACCTTTTGGCCTTCCAAAAGGTTTGAGACTATAATCTTCTAACTTTCTCTAATATTTCCCTAATATTTTGCCAGCCACCCCAAGTGAATTCCAACACTATTTGTTATGATTTCCATCCTTTGCATTTGCTGAGGAGTGTTTTACTTCCAGTCATGTCAATTTTAGAATAAGTGCTGTGTGGTGCTAAGAAGAACGTATATTCTGATGATTTGAGGTGGAAAGTTCTGTAGATGTCTATTAGGTCTGCTTGGTCCAGAGCTGAGTTCAAGTCCTGAATATCCTTGTTAATTTTGTCTCCTTGATCTGTCTAATATTGACAGTGGGGTGTTAAAGTTTCCCACTATTATTGTATGGGAGTCTAAGTCTCTTTGTAGGTCTCTAAGAACTTGCTTTGAATCTGGGTGCTCCTGTATTGGGCGCACATATTTAGGATAGCTAGCTAGTATAAAATTTTACAGCATATATACACTTTTAATACTAATTTAAGCAGCAAGGTTTATTAAACATCTTTTTATAGTTGACCAGATGATATCAAGAGAAATCTCAGATTAATCTCTACAATTTATAACTAATTAAATTTACACATTCAACATGCAATAGAGAGGGGTTTTAAAAAATAGATTTAGGGAGACAAGCGCAGTTGTGTTACATGGATGTATTACATAGTGGTAAATTCTGGGCTTTTGGAATACCCATCACTCAAGTCATATACATTGTACCAAATAGGTGGTATTTCATTCTTCACCCCCTCCCGTCCTCCTACCTTTTAGCAGTGTCTATTTTTCCATTCTGTACCTTCATGTATACTCATTGTTTAGCTCCCACTTACAGGAGAGAACATGTGGCTTTTGACTTTCTGTCTCTGAGTTATTTCACTTAGGGTAATGGCCTATAGTTCCATCCATGTTACTGGAAAATACATTCTTTCTTTTTTATGGCTAAGTAGTATTCCATGGCACATATATATTACATAAAATATATATATATCACATTTTAAACCAATAGTCTGTTGATTCCATGACTTTGCTATTGTGAAAAGTGCAGAGATAAACATGAGTGCAGGTGTCTTTTTGATAAGATAATTTCTTTTCCTTTGGGTAGATGCCCACTAGTGGGCTTTCCGGAATAGACTGTTTTTAAATACCAGGACAAGGTTACAGGATTAAGATCAGAAGATAAAATAACAATAATAGTTATTATTTATTATCACTTCAATATATAATTAAAAATTCATTAAAAAACACTTAACTGTTATTTTTCCACGGATAATTTTCATTTAAGTTTTTTTCCTTTAAATACTTTTTGATGCTTTGATGAGTGGTTCTCTTGCTTTCATACCAAGGCATGATTAACATAAATCTATCTGTATCTATTTAATAGGGACAAGTGATCCATATGTGAAGTTTAAAATCGGAAGAAAGGAAGTTTTTAGAAGTAAGATAATACACAAGAACCTCAACCCTGTATGGGAAGAAAAAGCCTGCATTCTGGTTGATCATCTTAGGGAGCCATTGTATATAAAGGTGAGCCATTTATTTGTTTTTTTTTTTTTTTCTGACAGAAACTGATATGGAAATCTCTGTCAGTTGGATTTTATCATGTTTCTTTGTCTGTTGAGAGTTTTCACCAGAGATGCGTTCTGCTATTCACCACCAATCTATTGATAATATGATAGAAATGAGATAGAGGGAAGGAGGAGCTGGTGGGAGCATTTTTCTCCAGGACAGTTCTCTTGCCAGTCATTTAGAAGGATTATGAAGTATACCCCTCGTGCTTGGTGCTGCCAACTGATTTAGTGCACTTTGGGAGTATATGAAAATAAGTTTCCATATAAGCTAGCAGAAAGGAGAGCTTATACAGAACCTGGTCTTTCTGGCCAACATAGTGAAACCCTGTCTCCACTAAAACTACAAAACAAAAATTTGAGTGTGATGGTGGGCACCTGTAATCCAAGCTACTTGGGAGGCTGAGGCAAGGAGAGTTGCTTGAACCTGGGAGATGGAGGTTGCAGTGAGCCAAGATTGTGCTACTGCAGTGTGAGACTCCATCCCCCCGCCAAAAATTTGTGTTATTTAAGATCGGCCATTTTTGGTTGCAAGCAAGATGTTTTACTTGGAAGATGAGAAGGGTGAAGGTGATGGGGAGAAAAATTTCTGTCTCTATTAGATTGCCACAACTGGCAGGTGAGGGCAGAGTCTTTCCTCTCATTTTATGTAATTAAAAGAAAGAGAAGAACTTGAGTTACAACCTAATTCCTATTCTGAGCCCTATTCCTTGTTTTACTTTCAGGCTAGGCTTTTTTAAATTTCTTATCTCTAGATATTTATATTCTTTTTTGCTCCTAGATTCTGACCGTTCATTCAGTGACCAGACCTTTTTCTACTTTTACCACAACAGCACATATCCCGCCCTTTTTCCTAAGTTGTCATTACTGACACATGAGCCAGAAATCTCATTTTTCAGCAATCACTAGGCATGCTGCTTCTCCTTAAATCATCATTGTACTACCTCTAGCTGTTTCTTTCCTCCACAGAAAGGAAAAAGAAATAATCAAGATGTTACTGAAATTATAAGAGGATAGTTTATAAGAGGGTTGAAAAGAAAATCTCCTAAGTATACAGTTAATAATTTTCTATAAGTCATTATGGGGAAAATAGACACAAACTTGCATTAAAATTGTCTCTATTTGAAAATCAATTAAATAGCATTTTTTTTCTTTTTGAGACTAAGTCTCACTCTGTTGCCCAGGCTGGAGTGCAGTGGCATAATCTCGGCCTCACTGCAGCCTCCAAGGGTTCAAGCCATTCTCTGGCCTCAGCCTCCTCAGTAGCTGGGGTTACAGGTGCCCAATACCATGCCTGGTTAATTTTTGTATTTTTAGTAGAGACGGCATTTCACCATGTTGGTGAGGCTGGTCTTGAACTCCTGACTCAAGTGATCTACCCGCCTCAGCCTCCCAAAGTGCTGGGATTACAGATATGAGCCACTGCGCTGCCCTTAAATAGCATTATTGAACGGTCTTTAGCTATATAATATGGGATGGCACAATAATTGTTAATTTAAGAATGTTCATAGCCAACCCTTCTCCCACAAAAGGGAAGACCTTTATGATGAGAGATGTTTCTCCCCTGCTCCTTACTTCTAGAGAGAAAGAAATATCCACATGAGAAAAAAAAAAAAAAGAATTATCTTTGTAATAAAGAGCTGAGATAGGCAATGAAAATGGAATAAAGAAAAGACAGGTGGGCTGTGAAGGAAGTATTACTTCTGGGGTGGGGAGGTGGGGGATCAGGAGACATGAGTTAGAGCAACTGCAGTTACAAAGAAAATGGTCAGGAAAGAAACAGGTGTTAGTAAGGACAGCAACAGGCTGTTGAATTTCATTAATGCTGCTGAAGTGAAAAATCATGAGAGGAAAGAAGTTTATCTTGAATTGCTTCTGCTTTGGATCTATCTTTCATTAGTGGGATATTACTCTGTGAAAGAACCATGTGGCTGTCCAGTCTTTGAAAGTGTTACAAATGAACTTTCCAAAATTATATTAGATATTGGTCGGGTGCTTTTGCTATTTTGTGCTCAAGAATACGTGTTCACTTATGTAGAAATCCAAATGTCAAAATGCATTTTTCAAAAGGAATATCTTACTAGGCTCAAAAAGAAATAAACAAAAAACTAAAGTACTTAGAAAAGAATGGTGTGTTCTCACTTTATAAGCAGAAGCTACGTAATGTGTACACATGGACATAGAGAGTGGAATGACAGACCCTGGAGATTTGGAAGGATGAGGGGTAGTGAGGGACTAGATGAAAAATTCCTTAATGGACACAGCGTATGTTATTCAGATGATGGATATTCTGAAAACCCTGACTTGACCACTATGCACAATCTATACATGTAACACAATTGTACTAACACTCCTTAAATTTATACAAAAACTTTCAAATTGTGGCAAAAATTGTTTTCACTTGAGACCAAGAATATACATATATATGTATATGTATGTGTATATATAAAAAGTATATATGTAGATATGTACATGTGTGCATATACATATACTATATATATTTACAGTCTATATAGTACACATACATATACTGTAAATGTACATATACTGTAAATGAAGACAGTAATGCTGTATGCAGGTCAGAAGGCTTGGTTAATGACACACTATCATTAAAGAAGCTAAGAAAGAAAGCCCAAAGGTTGTCAGGTTTTTTTCAAATCACTTTGAACTTTCATTGTATAAGATTATGTAGCCACCATTTAACTTCTACCACAGAGAAGAGGATACACAGTCACTTTTAAATGTTTTTATAATTTTACTAACTTTTACATTGTCACTTTTTACATTTCTATTTGAGAAAGATAATTAAGTTAAATAGAAATCATACAAATCTCTGAGTACACATATAAAATGATGATACTTTATTATATGTGATACTTTATACTTTTTAAATGCTTTCCTATTTTTTTCAGGTGATTTTAATTTTCAGTAAAATGCCTAGGGCTTTTTTTTGGAAGAAAATCTCTAACTTTTTACTTTATTTTTTCCATTTTTTATGTTTCTTTTTTTTTCTAGTCTTGGGGGAAGACTCAAATAAAGTACATTGGTGGAAATAATATTTTAAGTGACTAGAGTTTCATAAAAATTGCATCATTTTTATTGGCTCTGTTCAGGCCTGTGTGTTTTATTCAGTTCTGATATGATGCCCACATCCTCCATAACAGATGATTAATCTTGCCCAAAAGATTTCTTAGGGACTAACCAATTCTGTAGTAACTGAGAATATGAAAATGCATCTAGGTAATTAGAAACATTAAGTATACAACCCTCCCATCTGCAGTTAGAGGAAAAAGGAGTCCATCAGTACCCTGTAATCTGATTTCTATTAATGTAAAAATTACCAAGGAACACAAAATTCTGTTCTGAGCCAAGTTTGTAAAAGCACATTAAAGTTGAAGTGCTTGTACCATTTCTAGTAAAAACATTATTTAAAAAAAATCTTGGAGTTGTCATTTTTTAAAACTGTACAAAATAAAAATATTCTTTGCAATTGGTTGGTATTTATGTAACTTTTAATTTTAATGAAAAGGGCATATTCTGTGCAGATGAGAATGAGGCTTGGGGGGATGAGCTATAAAATCTATATATAATAAGGTAAGAGCAGAAGCTGGGAGTTAAAATGCAGTGCTTTTAATTGAGACAGGAGCCACTTTAGTCTACCCTGTATTCACAGTGATGCTCCAACATACATCTTAGATAATAGGATAAATTTTACACCCATTTCAGTTGAATTCAGAGTCTCCATTGTTATGTCACTGACACTATTACCCCAGGTTCGCAGTGAACACCAGAATTACAGTAGAAGAGATAAAAGTAACATAAATGGGAATGTATTTATGTAAATACATTTCTAATCATGAGTTGGAGATCTGAGTATTAATTGGGAGCACTTTTCTAAAAAGTAGAAACATTCTGATAAATTAGAACACGTGGCTGTTTCTAAGATGGTCATTTTAACAAATTGGACAGTCATTAAATAAGTCTTTTCTATCCAAGCTTAAGAGTTAAAGTTGAAAATGTTACTTTAAGCTCTGTTTAAGTTAAGGACCACATTACTGTCATGTGTAAAATTATTTCTCGGTAGTTTATAAGGGCCCTTGAAAAATGTCATATACCAATGATTCTCATCCCTGGTTGTACACCAGAGTTATTCAGAAAGGTTTGGAAAATCTACAGGCCCAAGTTTCACTTGTGAAGACTCTGATTCAGGACCTCTGAAGTAGAGTCCAAGCTTCAATATTATAATACACCTCAATAGGTTATTCTGAGGCACAGGTAGGGAGCCACTTTTCTGGACATTTAAATGGAAACAATTGAGTAGCTGGAATGGAAATATGTTTCCAGCCATAAACCTCAGAGCACCCGAACCAAAGTATTCCATAGTAAGATGTTCGTATTATTTCAGATGTTTTGTCTTACATGTTTCAAAAACACTTCCTAAATGCATGAATCAAGAATTTCCACTATTTTGGACCAAAATATAATCAGCAATGAAACAAAACAAACAAAAAAGCATGACTATACTTGCTTTTGGTTTGTAGGCAAAGAACATATGAAGTTATTGCACCTCGGGAAAATGAAATCTACAATCACATCTTCATCTTAATAATAGTTACTACCATTGACTGAGAACTGTGCTAAATACTAGTCCAATGTCATCTCATGTAACCCTCACCATAACCCTACAAATAACTGTTTTCATCTCTTTTGTATAGGTACATGAGACTTGGAGATTAAGGGTTAGCTTATGGCTACCTAGCAGTTAAGTAAGATGGCTTCTGGTTTCCACTAAACATGACTAACTGCAAAGGTCATAGTTAGGTTTTCTTTTTGTTTATTTGTTTTACAATGTCACTTCTATGACTTTTCAGCTTTAATTATTATTTTATAGTGTTATGGTTAGTCTGAAACTGTCTTATGTTAGTCTAAGACAGTTTGGACACTGTTGCTAAGTAGGAT